AAACGAAACGCGAGGCGAGAGGCGATCGCGCGACCCCGTGTTTGAAACACGATATTTGGAAACGCAAATGGACCGACTCCGTCCCAACGATTGCGCGAGCCGTACGCGTGCGCGGCTGCGCCCGAGCCGCAGACCATCGCCAACAGATATATTAGGCCAATTATATCCGACTTAATTACCCCACAGCCTCCGCTCCGCACCTATTTTCCAACGCTGTCGATGCAAATTAACGCCGGTTGAAACGCCGCCACCGCCAATTCGTTCGAACCGATTGTCGAAAACGCTTGTTTTTGATTTGTCGAAAAAAGAAAAGAACCTATCTCTCCCCTTCGTAGGATACGTATACGATTTCTCTTGGAATGCTATTACGAACTTGGTCGTGGAGAAAAAAGAAAAGAAAAAAGAAAGAAAAGTAGTGGATAAATCGGGAAACAAGCTCTTCTTTTTAAAGGAATTGATAAATTTAATAAAGTAACGTATGTAGAACGGATGACAGAATGGATGCGCTCTATTACATCTGTCTGTCACGCGTATTGTTATTATTAATATTATTGGGTTGGAAAACAGGGACAAAAATCGAGGCGGGGAGCGAAGTGGAATAATTTCACCGGTTTCCGATTAAAATGTCGATTATAAACAAACAAACGGAAATTCCTTTGATTGGAAGGTTACGTCAATAAAGTCTTAATAAAGTCATCCGTTTCACTTTATCCCGATATACGTCCATCGTTCATTTGCGATTGGCGAATATGTGTACCGACGAGATAGAGCGAAAATTATAAATACTCTGTCTAACCGTCTTCTTGACAAACGCTCTACATTTATAAATGAATCATGAATGACGAGAGAATCGATCGAAGAATTCGGAAATAATCCGCCTGACGAATTTAAAAATATTCAAATTCCAATCAAATTCGTATTCGAAGAAGAAGAAGAAGAAGAAGAAGAAGAAGGAAGAACTCGAGGAAAGAACGTATATTTTTCTCGTTTCGCTAGGAGAAGAGGATACTTGCATCCCTCTGTATAATTGGAACAATGTTTCCAGAACGTAATTCGGCCTCCCGAAAATTTTTTCCCCCTCCCTCTCCCCCCGGTTCCGACAGGCAGATTAAAAGTTTCGTCGTTTGGCCGGCTTCCGCGCGAAGCAGCACGAGTTTTCGCCCCCAATTTTCGGCTCGCCCACGCTCCAAGAACGAACAACTCGTATTTCATAGTTCAAAAACGAGGAAAAAGGAGGGGATGCGGAGGAAGAAGTCCAGCGCGTTAACCTTAATTAGCACGCGCATGCGCGGCCAGTTAGCGAGTGAATACTAACTGTAATACATTTTTAAACTAATTCCACCGCCGCTGGTACGCGTGCCACCGCTCAAGGAAGGGAGAACAGAGAGCCGACGGGTCAAGTTTCGCGATAACGATAAAAAGGACGTCGTTCCATTTTAAACGCGGGTGAAAATTCTGTCGAGATTGTCGAGGCGCGATTAAAAAAAGAGAGAAAAAGAGAGGGGCGGGAAAAAAAACGGAAAAAAGGGAAAAAGCGATGGGGAGGGGAGTCGGAAACGATGTGTATCGATGTCAAAAAATTTCGAGCGCGAGGCCGTAAACACGTCGAAAAGTGACGTATCAACGGTGAGAGATCGTGTCCGACGTGGACCAGCTGGCCCTGGCCCTATCTAAATGCACCCGCGACACCGATTGATGTTACATCGACGGAGATAATGGTATCCAAACAATGTTGCTCGCGTCAAAAGCGAGCCGACCGTTTCAAACTTGTTTTGCCGCTGTGGCGCGGCTGTATATATCGCGCCACCCCCCTTCACGAGACGATCTCGTCGCGAAAAAAAAATTCTTGCCCACGAGGCGAATACGAGGCATCTGTGCATCCTGATGTGAATACTCGCGCGGAATCTATTATTGAATGTCTTTAAGAATGTCAAATCGATCGAGATATTCGAATCTTCAAGATGTATCTCGCGTATATACTCAGCGTCGTAAGAACGAAACGTAATAACGTGATTCCTAGTAATATGGATTATTCGTCTACTCGTTACACGCTCAGAATTTATTCCTATTCCGTTTCATCCTCGACACGATTTCAATTTGTCGAGGGAAGAGGGGGAAAGGCAGACGCGTCGGGTAACACGTCCGAAGGCTCGCAGTAGGTAGGTTCGCGGTGAGTTATTTCAAAGGGGTAAAGGAAGACGGGTAAAGGAATTCGTCAGGGTTTCCCCGCGGTCGAAGATCGACAACCGGGTAAATGGATACCGTCCGCCTAGGGATTTTTTAGCCGGGAGAAAATCCCCCCTTTTTGAAATTCCGCACGCGCGCGATCCTCGAGATTCTGTTCGCGGAACGATATCCCGAAGCGATATTGGAATCGAAAGAGACAAGTGGCGCGAAATTTCTTCGAGTGTTACGAAGCGAAGAATCGAGCTCGGTCGCAGCATCCGCCACACGCTGATAAGCTTTTTCTATTTTTTGTCACACGGACAACGAGTTGTAGTATTTTCATCGAATCGAAATTTGGAGTCGCGGCAAGCATCAGTCGAGCCAAAGCGAAGAGAGAAAGAGAGAAAGAGAGGAGAACGAATTGAAACACGGCCGTTGTCGAATCGATATAGCCTCGATTCAAACTCGATTCCCGTCTAAACTTTCCTTCTCTCTTCCTTTCTCCTCGTTGTTAACCCTGTTTCACGCGACCAACTTTCGCAACCCGCAAGATTGCTACACGATGTCCCTCCCTTCTCTTTACCGAAGAGGAAAGAAACTTGAATCGGGATCAAAGTTTCGACGCCATTCCTTCGAAAAACGGAGAGAGGGAAACGGAAAACGGAGGGGGAGAGATGGTCTTCAATTAACTCGAGATTTCCTTCCTATTTTCGGTAATATCCCTGTTAAAATACCTTAAGCGATTCGAAGTATGAATTTTCTTGTTGGATTAAAAACCTGGATTATTAAGGGGACGGGAAGGAGGAGGAGGAGGAGGAGAGCTCGAGTCCCTTCTTTGTGAAATAACGGGTTTCTCGGGTGCAATTTGATCCGGAGAGCGGGAGAGAAGGATCGGGAGAAAGTTGGAAGCGAGGTCGGGACAGGATTAAAATTTCAACGCGGATCCTCCGTTCCGTTCGCCTCGATAGGGGAGGAGGGCGGAGGGGGAAAAAACGATAGGGGATGGCCCCGCCGCGAAATGTCTTCAGCTTGTTACGGACTTAACGAGAAGAAATGCGGTGGATGAGCGGGAAACGGCGGCGGGTAGGTGGGTGAAAAAGCGGGGTAGGATAAAGCCCAGACCTGTACAACCTGCTCGAGAGCTTTTCGAAGTTGAAGCTGCGCCTGGTAATACCGGGACCAACCGAATGGTCGAGTACTAATCCGAGTGTAATAATGGTGTACGCGCTCGCAGCCTCATCGCCGCATCTCTCCGCTTCGCCCGCTATTACTCTCCGCTCTGCCCGCCTCGTCTGCCCGCTTTCAAACTCGTTATACGATTTTTAATACATCGCACCACCGGCCCGCTCTACCCTCTGTACCAACGGCTCTTTTTGCTCTCTCTCTCTCTCTCTCTCAAACTGCTCTTTCAAACTCATCTCTGCGCGTTCCTGTCACGGACGAATCCAAAATTCAAAGCTTTGAAAGCGGAGAAAGGATTGCAACGTTTGGTCCCATACGGGGAACAGGGAATTTCCAAGTCGAAAAATTAACGCTTCTCCTTTTTCTTATTCTACTTTGGCTCTCTTTGCTCTTTCTATCTCTCTATCTCTTTCTCTTCCCCCGTTGCTCAAACTGCTCTTTCAAACTCATCTCTGCGCGTTCCTGTCACGGACGAATCCAAAATTCAAAGCTTTGAAAGCGGAGAAAGGATTGGTTCCCATACGGGGAACAGGGAATTTCCAAGTCGAAAAATTAACGCTTCTCCTTTTTCTTATTCTACTTCGGCTCTCTTTGCTCTCTCTCTCTCTCTCTCTCTCTCTCTCTCTTTCTCTCTCTGTCTCTTCCCCTGTTGCTCAAAATTCAAAGTTTTGAAAGCGGAGAAATGATTGGTCCCATACGGGGAAGAGGGAATTTCCAAGTCGAAAAATTAACGCTTCTCCTTTTTCTTATTCTACTTCGGCTCTCTTTGCTCTCTCTCTCTCTCTCTCTCTCTCTCTCTCTCTGTCTCTTCCCAGGGAATTTCGAAGAATTAACGCTTCTCCTTTTTCTTGTTATTCTTTGAAAAGTGGTAAATACGTTGTCGGGACGGTTTCCTTTGCTAGATCGAGAAATGATTAATCGGTGTTTACGGGGCGCGAGATAGCGGCCGGATTCATTATGCATTACAGTTTGAACAACGGCAAACGACAGTGAGGAATTGCAGCCGGCTGCGATATTACGTAGCGTACGCCGAGAAATTTATAGGATAATACTCCCGATGGATTATTCCCCCCTCCCAGCGATGAAGAATCGGGATAAAAAGGGATAAAGATGGTTATGCCGTTTCGAATGCAGCGTAAACGGCAAGCGTAGAAGAATTGAAATCCGCCACGATGCGAGCGCGTCGACGATCCCGGTTGAAAGTTGGCGGTGGAAAAGTGGCGAAAGGGACGTTCCAACGCTCCCGTTCGTTCGAATCCAGCTGTTTTCCCGGGGCTGTCCTCCTCGGCTTTCCTCCTTCTTGCCACCCGTCGCATTTGCATACCAAAGACTAATCCGCGCGCGGGCCGATTGAAATGAAAATGCGCGCGGTCTCGCCTCCGTCGGATCCACGACGGATCGTGGAACCCGCTGTCGCGAATGCGAATATCATTTTCTTTCACGGCGCGCAACAAAGCTTCGACACCGGTCGATTTATCCGCGCGAGGGTGCACGCCCGTACATAATCTCAAGGGTGGAAGTCGAACGACGCGTGGAAAATGGAACGAATGGAACGAAATAAAAAGAGAGAGAGAGAGAGAGAGAGAGAGAGTATAATATTTACGCGAATTCGAACGTTGATGAATATCTTCTTTTCTCCGATTTTGTTACAGCGACGGCGGCCTGGCCGAGGCAGGAGCAGCCGTGCCCGATAGCTGGAGACTTTTGCATGAACGGTGGTACCTGCCTGTTTTTCGAGACCGTCGGTGAACCAGCATGCAGGTGAGCGCTAGCATCGATCCGTTTCGTTTCCGCATAATTATAATTAAATCGAACGTCCTCTCCTTGTCTAATCCTATCCTCTATATATATAAATATGATATATTCCGGACACAACGGGAGATCATCGGTTGTTCGAATTATATCATGTGATATATGATGCGTAAAAGGGGAGATCGAGATAAAGTTAAGGCTATGCTTCTCGCGCGTCTGTCTAGAACGATACAAGATTGAAAATATCGAAACAAACGACTGCGAAACGCTTTTCCCTTGCGCTCTCCTCGCAAGAGGCGGAGAGATGGTGCGGAGCCGGTCGAAATTGAGTTTCGCTTCTTGTTACCCTCTTTTCCACCGACACCTCTATCCGCCCGCTCGCAGCGGATGAGATTGGGAGGGGGAGGTTTTTCGCGGCATGTTTGTTGCCGATTTCGTGCAGCTCGCCAGACAGCTCGTCGAGTCTACTGACCTCCTCCTCTCTTTCCTTTCTCCTCTCAGCTTCACGCTCCAATCTCCAATTCCACTCCTTCTCTTTTTCCGTCCGCCCATCCCTTACGACCGACCTCCGACCCATCCATTAAAGGGACCACCTCGCTCTCGTTCCTCTTATATTCCATTCTCTCCACCTTTTCCTTCCTCTCTCTCTCTCGTCCTATTCTTCTTTCTATCACATCGACTTTTCCACCTTTTCCGGGAAAAGGGAGAACTTGTTCCTCTTAACTGATTAGACTCCTGATAATCAAACTGTTTATTCTCTCCGTGGGAATAATTATAACGGCCAATTTCACTCGGCAATTACAATTGTTCACGCGCTTAAAAGTAGTTTCTTCGTCGTCTCGAACAGATTCCCGATTTTCCTCTTCAAGAAAGGGATCGAAACGGTTTTGATCGAAGAAAAGTAGGGAACGAAACACTGAATTCTGGAGGGGAGAGGGTGAAAATAAGGGAACGCGGGGTCGAGTCCATTTTTCATGAAAAATTCCTTTCCACTTTGGAAAGGAGAGGCAGGTTTCCACGTTTCATCTGCATGCAAGAACTCGTATCCAGGCCGAATTTTCCTCCGCCTTGGCGCGATTTCATCGGTTCTTTCGAAAATTAAATTTCCCAAGTGGCACAGCCCGCACCCCCACGGGGGTCATCCATCCCTCCTCCTGCTCCTCCTTCCCCCTCCGCATAGGTTTAATTAAAAAAGTTCCCCGCTTCCGATGATCGGCGCGCATAGCTCCGCGGAATTAGCCGGCCGATCAATCGCGAAGGAACACGTTGTTCCTCCTTTCTCCCCCCGTCGAATTACTTCTAGTTCGGTGTTAAAAATCACAGACGGAGAAAAGAGGGAAAGAGAGTGGAAGCTGGGTTGGAAAAAGTTGGCCAATATCAAAGCAAACACTCATCCGGCCAACATTTCCCTCGATTCCGGCAAACACTCGACTCGGTAATTTCAACGAAACGAGAGGAGAGACCTTTCGCTTCCGCGAACCCTATCGCTATTATTCCAACGACGCGGCCAACTTTCCGCCGTTTCCTCGTACGCGTAACGAGGAGAAGCCGAAGCGACGAGCAGAGCACAAGTCTCTTCCCGAGACGAGAGAGCGCGTTGGAGAGAGAGAGAGAGAGAGAGAGAGAGAGAGAAAGGGGAAAATCGGGGCGGCCGACGACAATGGCCTTTTTGTCGGTGCGCTTTGACGTTGATTAGCCGCTCGTTAAATAAATTCGGAGGACGGAGCTGATACGCGAATAAAAGTGAGCCGAGAGGTGGAGAGAGAGAGAGAGAGAGAGAGAGAAAGGGCGAGCGACGGAGGAAAGACAGAGAGAGCAAAGGGAAACACTGTGGTCCGTGGACGGGTCCCGATGCGAGCACCGCGCTGCCATCGGTTGACGAGGGTTTATTGGCTTTATCGAGGAATCAGGTCGTCCCCAGGAGGAACACGGGTCGAGGGAGGGAAAAGGGAGGGGTGGAAAAAAAAAGAAAAAAAGAAAAAAAGGAACGACCGTCGGAAAGAATGGACAATGGACAAATGAGCGTACACCGAGCATTGTCTACTCGCATGCAACCAACTGGGGCGCAAACAGATTCGTACGTGTACGTATTCTATTATTCGTGCGACCGTGGAAAATGAGTTGCCCCCGCGCGAGATGGAAGAGGGAAAATATTCCATAAACACGAATATTTCGCTTCGCCGGCCCCACGATATATACCCGGTTGTTACTAGGTCGCTGTGAGTGATAAAGGGCGTGTCGTACACTTGGACGGAAGCCGCGTCTCCGCGCCGCGTTTCCGCGCCTAATAAATCGAATTCCTTCCTCGAAATGATCCTCGAGTCGAACCGAGTGGCACGAAACCCCGCCGCTGCGCTCCTTCCCCTCCTTTCGTGATAATAAATCACGGCTCGTATCTCGGCAATCCCCCGATTTATAGATTTCCAATGAGTCGTCTTCCCGTGGAATAAACTGTCTCCGGCGACTCGGTGATTCCCGATAAACTCGAAAAAGTGGCGTTAAACGGCCAACTGGATGGAAAGATTTAACCAGGTTGAAAAGAATCGTCTGGATCGAGAGAGAGAAAGAGAGGGAGAGAGAAGTTGGGGGATAGGCTGGCAAGGTCGATGACCCAGTTTAAAGTATCGCGACCGAATCGAACATCCAGTTTATCGCGACCGAGTCCCACTCCGCGATCCACCCCTCGATCCACCCTTTCCAATCATCACCGATCCCTTTCGCGACGGGAACCTCGCAGCGGCGCTTCGCCAAAATACACAGCTGATGCGAAGCTTTCGCCCTCGCCCACCGCCACGGGGTGGATGCTCGTAAATCTCGCCGGGAGACACTTCATCCCGAACCCTCGCGCGATCCATTCAATTCCCGCCCTCCACCTGTACGTACGACCTGTGATTCCAGACGAGGCATTTTCCCCATCCAAGATATCCAAGAGAAACACCACTCCACCCCTTTCTTCTCTCCGCTCACCGTTCTCGAAGCGATTCGAACTAGAACAGAACGAGGCAACGAGATGAAATAAAGAAATATATTCCGTAATCCAACACCATCAGACCTATTAGGTCTGACAACTATTAGTAATTGAGAGACGAATCGAGCGAACGATAAACGAGAGAGTGATGTATCATCGAGAAAATATTTGAAACTGGAATATTTCTACTGGGTATATAATAAGAGGTTGGGAACAGGGTGAATTGTGAGAATTCAACGGCGATAATTCGACGCGAGGTGAAAAGTTGGACTCGCGCGACGATAGCAGCGCCGTTCGCGGCAGATAAGGTTAGATAAAAACGGGGACGTTAAAGCGGAACGAACAGGTACGTAACGGCCTGTCTGCCAGGAGGTGGCAGCAGCCCGTTAGGAACGGGAAGAAGGAGCGAGAGAAAGAGAGAAAGAAACAGAGAGGGGAGGAAAAAATGGAAGAATAAAGCACCCTCTAATATCCAGTGCTTCGCCGACCTCTCACACCTTTTTTTTTCTTTCTTTCTTTTTTTTCTCCCGTTTCCCTGGTATAACCCTGGCCCATATACGCGAACGGACGCTCGAATCTCGGCCTGCATACGCACAAAAGCTGTGTCGCACAAAGCGGTGTGCAGCCGGTGTGCCGTCCACGCGAGCTCTCACCACCCAATCTCTCTCGTCTCCCTCCCCGGATACGAATTCCTCCTTTTTAGACGCTCGTTATTTTAACGGAAAGCTTTTATATGAAAATGTACTCCAGTTTCGAGCAAGGTCGCCGCCCCTATCTCGGCGAGAATTTTCGATACGAGGCCGCGCGATATTCTCTCGAGTTGATTTTTTCGACCGAGTGAATGTAACGAAGTCGACGTTTTGTGTAACGGTGGCGTAACTCTATCCTCTTCGATTTCTTCTTTTTTTTTTTTTCTTTTCTTAAAAATTTATTCAATGATTTTTTTTTTCCCTTGATTGTACAACTTTCTTCGCGAACTCGAATCGTAATATTTCTTCCCTCGTTCCGATAATAACATCGAGCGTATAAGTTTCCGATAAGTAAAAAGAGTAACGAGTGGATTTCATCGAAGGAGGAGAAATCATAAACGCGGTTTATTCTCTCGAGATTTTTTCCTTTTTTTTTTTTTTTTTTTCCCCATCCTTCGAACATCGCCGAGCGTAATAATATCGAGAGAGGGATGACGTTTCGCAGATTTTGAAGCGAGGGGGAAAAAAAAATAAAAATAAAAATAAAAATAAAATAAAGATTGATGCGACTGATTTGTCTTGCGCTTGTCTGGCGCATCGTGCGGGACGAAAGTGTAGAGAACGGGGGAGGGGGAGGGGGTAAAAGCAGTGACTGGAAGGTTAAAATAATGGATGGACGTAGCGGGTAGTAGGCGCCGCGTAAAGAGCGCGTTTCCAGAGTTTTGCTTAGCCGGCATTTTTCACGCGCCCCAAGGAGAAAAAAACGGGGGGAGGGGGAGGAGAGGACAGTGACTGAGCGTTGTCACATCTAATACGACGCTGTTAGTTTGCATTACGTTAACGCGACGGTTTATAATACGTTCCCCTCCCCGCTTCCCCGCAGAAGATACGCAAGATTTTGAACGGGCATTTTGAGTGGAATGTCGAGAGAAAAAAAAATGGTGGAGGGTGGGGAAAAAGAGGGAAGGGAATAAAAATCAAGGAGCAGCAGCCTTTTTCTTTTTTTTTTTTTTCTTTTTTTTTTTTTTTTTTGCAGCGTGCAGCCTCGGACGTCTTAATAGAACTCGAAATCCCGCTTAACGTTGAAAGAAAAATAGCATACCTATACATTTAAATTGAAGTTTTCGTTTGAATTTCATGTAGGCGTTAAATTAAAACCGATGGAAACTAGCGCCGCGGCTTGCACAGCCACGGCTCCCGGCTTTTCGTTCCCCTTTACCACCGGATTCCGTTCGCGCTCGCGTTGAAAAGGTTCGTTAATAAAGACGATGAAAATTACGGGTTAGGTGGATCTTTTTAAAAGGGAAAATAACCACGGAGGGAAGATTACGTCGAATGCGGGAAAAGGGATA